GAGAGAGAGAGAGAGAGAGAGAGAGAGAGAGAGAGAGAGAGAGAGAGCACAAAAATGCATTGCATAAATGGAATTCTTAAATTCTTAAGATCCAAGTTTCAAAACTTTAATACCAATCTAATGATTGTTTTTCTCAATATGATTATATCGTTCTTGTATACCTCTTTCCTTACTTGTTCTAATTTGTATCTTCTATTCAAGCACGAAAGGTTTGATAATCTGCGCACTATACGAGCGGGAGCAAATCGACAAACGCCACGCGCGCGTACATACATGGGACATGGGACTCGAGTAGAAATTCAAATGAAATTCTTAGCGCGCCATCTCGCGTCAGATACAGAAACAAAGTGATACATATTTACCAACTGAAAGATTTCAATTTCGCAGTAGGTATATCAGGGGATCGGTTATGTATTATCTTGAAACGAGATAAAAGTTTTATAGTCGCACTAACGAAAAGTTATCAGATGACAATCTCTAATATAATCTCATTAGGACGAATATGAAATGTAGTGTGCGTATTTCGTATTTCGTGGCTATTAGTTTAAAAATCCCCAACTAATGTCTTATATCGCTTAATTTTTTTTTACTATCATATATACAGGGAGCTTTCCAGCAAGCGACGCAAACGTCGTTCTATCTTTCTTCTTTGGCAATGAGTAACAAAGACAAAACGACACTTGTGTCGACTTGTATCGCTTGCTGGAGAGCTCCCAGCTCCCACTAATTACCTATTTTTTCAATTTATATGTGTGTGTTTTATCTTTCACCTATCTTTTAATGCTCACGTAGTATAATTGGTTGATGATGAGTTGATTTAATGCTAATTAAATGTTGATTAGTTCGAATCAACTAGTTTACCTGGTTTCCCAGTTGGATGTTGGCTCATTTATTCACTTCCGGTTTTTTTTTCCATTCCGTTTGCACGTAGGGCTGCGTTCGGGAAACTTTACTCGGGTGCACACCGCGTCGTTCTATCCTCGTTATTTACTACAAATTGAAGAAGAACAGAACGACGCATGATGTGCACCCGAATGAAATTTCCGAACACAGCCCTAGGACGCGGGCGACGCGGGTGAACGCTAGGGAAGTGACGCGCATTCCACACAGCCGCGCCAATCAGCTTCTCGCCTCTTCGAAAATGATAAAGCGTAACGACAGGCAATTGGTCGTCCCATTTCGCGCGCGTCTCGCGGCAGCGGCCGGTAGGGTGCGCGCGACGCGGCGAGAGAGCGTGGAAAATCACCAGCAGCGAGCCACCCGAAAAGCTAGCGGAGTCGTCGCTCGTCGCTCGTCGCCATGTCCGTATTCCGTTACTCAGAGAAACACTGCTAGCACGTGGCGTCGTGCGCTCGCGGAAATATCGCCGCAAGTTGGTCGTACGGCGCGCCGAAAGTATTTTCAGGGGGCTTCGAACGAGGTGCACGACCGATCGCAAGTCCGTCGCAGCCTCGCGAAACGTTAATAACAACGGTAAGTAAGTTAATCCCGGCGGACCTCGTGCGTGCCTCCCCTACGGCTCGCCTTTATGCGGCTGCTTGCCCGTCTTTCGTTATCTCCCTTCCGGTTGCTCGTACGGGTACGGGCGGCCGAGAGGCCGCATCGCCGCATAAATGAGCTACGAGCAACGGAGGCAGGTATAGCTGTACGGCCGGCGGTGAACAGGGATCGATGAGCGGCGTGAATTTTGAGAACAGATCTACCCGTATGTTTCAACTTTATTTGTAACCAGTTGTATATACTAGCGAATTCTTCCTCTCCCTCTTCCTCTTCTTCTCCTCTATCTAGCGATACGTGCAACACGAAACTATTCACGTGTCTGTTCTTGAATTATCGTTTCCTGGTTGTATCTTATGGTTGTGGATTGTTGTACATGGTACTCTGTGTGTGCTACTATATATTTATTATCTTGTTTTTATATTCCATTTTGCCTCAAAGTCAAAATTTTTATCCATGTTTTTTTTGTATGCAGAATAGCTAATGAAACATTTTGTGTAGTCTTAATGGTCTTAATAATTAGTCTTAATTTATTCATTTATTTTATATATAATTTTGATAGAAGTGCACAAAAAATTGTTTATTTAGATAAGATAACGTTCAATATGTGGCAGTTCAGATATTCTATATATAGACAAAGATAGGCTACATGTTGAACTATGTGCAAGTAACAATATTTTATTTCTACGTATATATTTATTCAATGCCTTTTTACATATATTTAATAAAAGAAACTTTTATACAGTTTACGCTAGCAATTGTAATATTTTTAATTAAATTATTTCAATTTTTAATAAACTTTCTGTTGATTATTTTCTGATTTTAAATATAGATATCATTCATTATTGTTATTTTGTTGACAAAAACATTATAATTAATTAACAAGTTAATTAAACATACATAGAAAAGTAATACAAATTATTACAAGAAATTTTTACGCGTTTGAAAAAAGAATAGAATTTCTATTATTTTCTAATAAATTTAGTTTAATAATATTTCGTTGAATTAATATTATTTATATTTCTTTTGTATTTTATGTTTAATTTCGTAAAAGTTTTTTATTTTATAATATTATTTTTGTAAATGTTTAATTGGGTGTATATCTAATGATTTTAGGGATACATAATTTTCATTGCTAACCATGTACATTTTCGTGACGTATGTTAGTAGAGATAATCTCACAATCAGAATAACTTATGAAATTTTTGTGTAAAAAATGACGTTTAAAATTTTTAATTTGTGTTATTGAATTTATTCACCATAGCATATTACACTGTAGAATAAAATTTATTTATTTTACTTGCATTTGTTTTTAATGATTGTTTTCTCTAATTTCATAATCACTAATTGAAATTGACATTTTATTTATCAAAATTATTTCAGACTTCATTTGTCGTCTCTTTATTAATATGAAAATAATATAAGCTATTGTGTACTTTGACCTAATCTATGTTTGTTTACATCGTATTACTTTCCTTGAAACTATGCTGAGATCTACTTGAAGATAAATCTGTTTAATTTAATATACTTGTGCATGAAAACTGTGACATCCTTTTTCATTTTGAATTTATTGACACGGCATAGAGAATTAAAAATTACATGTATATACCAGCGCACACCGTTCCTAATTCATGCATAATTTAGAACTCTTATTCGTTAGTTGAGTTGTTGTCATTTTAAAAACTGTTTGGACTCTCGATTTTGCCAGAGAAAAAAAGTTGCCTTTTTTTTACGCGCGTTACGTTTTACTGTGCGTTCCATGTACGATTCTGCGACATACTGTATATAAGTTAACATTTTGATATCTTCCATTTACATAAATCAAAATTTTAGTCAATATATTGCACAGTCTTACTCTACGAACACTGACTGACTATAATTGAGGTAGAAAATGCAACAGCTAATTATATCCTTATTAAAAAATAAAAAATAAAAGGAAAAGATTGATTCCGGATAATTCTTTGTGACTACCTACTTTGTTCGTTGATCTTTTATTTAAATTTACAAAACTAATTTATTTTGAATTGTAGTGCAAAAATATTACACGATTTTTTAGTTTTTATTTTTTAGTTTTTGATGAATATGATATGATTGCGGTCTCGTCAAGACATCGAGAACTTTAATAAAACTTTATCTAAATGGGAAGTTGAAGGTTACAGGTTGAATCGACGAGATTTGCTTTAGCTTACCAAGTCACCGCGATTTCCGCCTTTCCTCTTGATGCTTTTATTAAGCTTTACTCGCACCGGTTACCTCATTAGTCTCGCGCGATGCAGATTCAACATTCCGAGAGCACGTTGAACCAGTATGCTTTGACCTATAACGCTATAGCATGTTTTTCTCTTGAGATGTTGCCCAATTATTTTTATTCGAAATTTGCATAGATCATCAGTGCCTAAAGAGTAAATCTTAAATAATATATTATCGACGAACACGACAAAAGATTCTTTTTCAGCGGTAACGTATTTGTGCAAACTGTCAACTAAAAAATTATTAATATTTGTTCAGTGAAACTATTCTTAATGTTTCTTTAATGACTTTGCTAACAAAATTGCTACTCTCTTTATATGCATAGCAAAAATTTTCGATGACTTACTATAGCTTTTCGTAGCGATAAAGTTAAAAAGAAAATACTGAATACATGAAAAAAATATATTCTATTCTATTCGATCATGTAATGTAGTTTTCCTACGCAATAGTCTCAATGTACTTTATACTGAACGATTCCGCATGTATAACTTTTATTTTTTATTCTCTTCTTTTTACACAATGTCTTTCTTTTCTGCGCTAGAATATGCTGTAGCAGCGCTATTTCGTCTTTGTTAATATTTTTTATTTTTAAAAATAAGACTTGAATTTTTTTTGGAATTTAAATTAGTTCTAAGCATTTCAAACATGTTGTTACTGTTGTGCAATATATTTGCTTTCTATTTAGCACTCAAGAAATTTTGACTTGATTTTCAAATCATGCATGTTTACATATTTATGTAAAATTGCTCCAAATCTCGAAAGCCTACTTCCACTCACCAATCGAATTATAGTGAACTTTAGATGAATTTTTAACTTATATCACGCATTGATATTAGCATATGATACTTTTGACAAAAAAAAAAAGAAAAAGAAAAATGATTACTAATTTCTTATCAGGTTCAATTTAATCATTTTATTTCGGATATTGCGATGGTATTATAAGTCGCAGTTCTACAGAATGTTTCTGTGTTTGCAGACTTTTCTTGTTGATATATTTTTTCATCAATTTCATCCATTAGTAGAATACGTCGATAAAATTTGACCAAATATTTTCACGCCTTATGCGCTCATGTACACATTCCGTTGAACATGTGTATGAAAATATATCGTGTCGCGCCGGTTTGATAATTTTTTGTTCGTTTGTGTTTCTGTTGACCCAGAAATCATATCGCTAGCTGCATATCGCTGTTGAGATAACAGTAAAATCATTAACGGCAAATCAGACCTAACATATACAAAAAAATGACTTCATACTCTAGAGGGGTCTATTTTATCTTGACCGAGAGATGAAAGAAATTTTAGATTATTTCTAAGTATTATACTCGCTCATTACTTTTGTGTGGCCCTATACCACACAAGTAGGAAGATCTTGATCGCGGTGTGAATGCCATCTTACATGATCACGCCTGCGTACCGGCGAACAGTTCCAGTCCAAACTGGTCCTCGGCGTGAACCACGTGTTGGAAATCCGCGAGCAGTAGTAGGACGTAGAGACTCCAGCCGTGCTGGCATCGATGTGTCCACGTAATCAATCTTCCGATTAATTTCGGTGCGTGTTGCTTCGGGCTTACTTTAAGATGTTGCGCAGTCTTACCGTCTAGATATCCCTTGGCGATTATGACGAAATATCTCGAATACACGAGAGGCAACTCGGTTATTATCGCGACCAGCTGGAGACATTTGCTCGTCGGTCGATCATATGTTTATGTAAGTTAATATAAAGTAAACAGCACTGAAATATGTAGGCGTGTGTGTGTGCTTCGATATCAGATTTTTAAATATCACAGTTCAGATCTTCGAATTTCTAAATTCTTATATCTATATATTTTTGTATACATCTGTGAGATCATATCCTAACGATGACATAAGAATGCTGTGCTTCATTGCTTTGATGATATAATCTGAGGCTTCAGTGATTACTTCGCTATCAAAAATTTGACATCACGAAGTATTTGATCGTTTTTTTTTTTATTGTTAAATATGTAATAACCCGAGAGTACATTTAACTCTTTGTTTATATATCGTTTTTAAATGTGTGTACGTTATCGATAAATTAAAAACGTTATCCACACATTTAATACTTCAAATAATATTTTCTTAACAGATGTGGCGCTTATTGTATACATCATCGTGCCTACTGAAGGTCTCTCTAAGCATGAGTGTTACTTCGTTTTTTTTTTTTGCGAGTGTTTAAGGAGAGTTGGTGTTGAGACCGTAGGAAATGGAATTCAACCATTTCGCTTACGGCCTTACTCTATGCCCTATTATATCGGAAAACCAACTTATTCTGAAGTCTTATAATCTTAATCCACTACTCCTGCTGCCATTGTAGACGACGCTTAAGAACTAATCGTTTATATATTGATTCAGAGTTTAACAGAGATGTTCGTACAGAATAGAATACTGTAGAAAAAGATTAGAAGATTGTATGGAATTTATATGACCTTATATAAATCTTATTTTAATGTGATTAATTCTTCGCCGGTTAAGTGATTTAATTTTATTAAATTCAGAACTTATATTCTCTAATTCTAATGGAATTATTATATCTCATTAAAATAAGATTTATATTTTATTAGTGTTAAAATTTTCATGTCATGTGATGTGTGAATAGAGAATTTAATTGCCGTAGGTACGCGAAGGAAAGTTGATGGAATTCGACGTCGGCATGCCGTCTCGTTTTACATGGGTTGTTTTGCGTGCTAATTGCTGATCAGCAGATGTTTACTTAGCATTAAACAAAATAGGTTTTAATTCCTTTATCGTTCGTAGCAGGATAATCTTGATAATTAAACATAAAATTATATCTCTTTATTAGTTTTTATACAGAAGATTTTAAAAAGTATTATATACATATGTGATGTTTAGCATATCATATATAAATATTAAAAATAGCTAACTGCTTGAAATAATAGTTGCTTAAGTATTCGTTGAAATAATAAGGATTTTAAAACTGTTTTGTGTCTAATTCGATTTCAGTATCAACGAATTTCCAGTAACGGCAGCTACCGTGGACTCACACTATGAATCCGGCTCGTGTACAGCTAACCAAGTGGGCAGTGCCGGTGGTGACTCTTGTCGGCGTCGCTCTCTATTGGTACAAACGCCGTCGGGTAGAAAGAGGTGAACTACAATGGAATGACTCGGGTGGGACTGCGAAATCAAATTGCATAGAAAAGGCGATTTCAAATGATAAGAAGGAGGTTGACACCAGCCTCAATGAGTCCGGCGTTCAGAAGGAGACGAACCAGGGATCCTCAGATAGCTGCTGTTACACGCGACAAGAAGAGCCGACTCGCGTCCCAAGGAAGGTCAGCGAGAGCATGGATATTCCGTATAAGAATTCAACATCGCAATCCGCCATCTGTAGTAGCAGCCAGATTAGGCACCCGGACACCGAGACGATACGCAGTTCAGATGTAGAGTTGGACAATAATCCAAATGCGAGCTACTTCGAAATGATCGCCACGAGCGCAAGTTCCAAAAGCCCAAATTCCTGCACGTCTAAGAAGAACGTAGATAACGTAACGAGAATATTTCAAAACGTCGCCGGCGAGGAAGAGAAGTCTCTGCGTTGTGAGACGGAGAAAAATTATGCCACGGACGAATATAATTACAAGGAGGATGGGCAGCAATCCGAGGGACACATCAACGCTCAGGGACAAGAGGCCGATGAAAGAGACTCTGCCAATCATAGCCCGGTTTCCGTAGTTCTGGACGGCAGCGTCACAGACGGAGCCGAGAGCGAAGGAAGCAACACGGATAGCGGAAAAGGTGAATATTGATAATTTGTGCTGCTGATGAAGTATTTCATCAATCTATTTATTAGTAGAGTCGTAAAGTATTGGTTCTAAGAGAACACAGTTAAACGAACTATTGTTTCGTCCAGATTTAGAGAGTTACAAACTCTCTAAATTTTTATTTCCTCATACAGGTGGAAGTATTAACGGATGCAGGAAGGATAGTACCGCACCAACCACGTATAACTTTGCTATACCTCAACATCTAGTGGGCAGATTGATTGGCCGTCACGGCAGCTTCTTACACAGTATTCGAACGAAGGCAAATGTCGGTATATACGTCAACGATCATCCTTGCGATGGCGATCATAAGATTTGCTCGATACGAGGCAGTGTTGAGGGAATTAATATCGCGCTTAAAATGGTAAGGCAGAAGTTTCCGGAGAAAAGGTTTCCGCAAGTAACATTAGCGGAGATTGCGACAATAGCCGAGGTGATCGAAGAAGTTGTGTATAATGTCCCGATTCAACGGCCCCTGTCCCTGGTTGAGGGTGTTAATAATGACATTAATATCTCTCACATTGTCAAGCCAAATTGGCTCTTCGTTCAGCTTCCGACTCATCCATCATTTCTCCTTTTGCAAAATTTGGAAGACAGCATGATGTATTGGTATAACAATGAATTGTTGCCAGTTCCAGATGTATTGAACAGTAAGTGATGATCTTAACATGTTGAATAAAAAAGAAATCAAGATATTTGGATTATACAATACATTTTTACTTTGTAGGGGGTGATTACGTGGCTGTATATTGGAGCGACAAATGGGTTAGAGGATGCATTGAACGTCCAGATCCATCGGGAGAGAGAAGCGTAGTACGATTACTCGATCACGGTGGTTACTGGCAGTTTAGTAATTCGCAATGTAGGCCATTGATATATAATTATTTGAGCCTACCCTTCCAAGCCATCGAAATCTTTTTAGCAAATATTCAGCCAAAGAACGGTAACTATATATTGACGTTATGTATACTATTCTTCCAGATTATACATCTCTACTTAAAATTATTTATCTTTGGATATGTAATTATACTTTGATGTTACTCCTTTGCAGGTAAATGGTCGACAGAAGCTTACAATGTGGTGCAAAATTGTTCCTCAAAGGGAGTTGCTGCTCAAGCTCAGATTGAAGGACGCATACAAACCAATATTTATGCAAATATTTATTTCATGATACAAAATTACGGGGTAAGTAGTTATTATCCACTCTTCGAGAATCTCTTTGCAGATGTGCAAATTAATTTAAATTAATTGATTTTTTTTTATAGTTAATTTCCCTTACTGAAGAACTGGTAATGAACGGACATGCTGAACAAGTAGCATGGGACCAGATGAAACCAGAAACACTTGAATCCATCTGTACATAAGAGTTGTCAAGAAACTCTACAATTTTCACGCATAATCCGCGATTCTTAGTCAGCATGGACTAGAGTTTAGTACAATCGCCATTGATAAAATCTCCTTTAATCGTGTCAAAATTGATTATTTCGCTTTTTGACTTCGTTCTTTACTCATGTACTTCTTCGTAATACTTTATTGAAATCGCTGTGAATACTCTGACACACATATTTCCTAATGGTTGATTATTTACATAGAGATATAGTAAATAACGCAGTATATATATCATTCTAACAATGATCAATAAGACTATATTTAGCTGTACAGAAGACATGATATTTTGATCGCGTTTAAGTAGCATTTAAAGTACTCCCTTAAACATTGCTCAGAAAGAACGCACTTCTGTGAGCACAAAACTCGTCTCAAACGAGTTCTGACAAGTACAAAAGATTTGATTTAGTCCGAACGTAGGAACTTTTTACAACATTATTCTCCAAGTTCTATCGGCCGTGATATTTTCTCTTTTATCTGAGAAACTGAATTCTTACCGATAATGTGCGAGACAAGTCTTTCAGATAATTTCATATAATACATTCAGAAAATCGCTTTCATCGTCTAAGCGCCTTGAGACTGTCGTAAAGAAAATGCAACCGCGTTTAATCCTTCTCTACATCTTTATTAATAATTTTGTATATATTGTAAAATAGTTTACCGATTGCGTAGAATATTTATATTTAGAAAAAGAGAAATTTATAAAGATTGCTATATTGATCGTAGAGTAGAGAAAACAATAACTTAAAATTTTACAAAGTAGTGTCACATTTAAACTAGAACATTGTATATCGAATAACTCAGACGAATTAGGAAATTCGTTTCTACGTGACTCATATCTAATTCTGATTGGGGACGATTCGAGAACTCATAGAAATAATTTAATTTAATTTCACGTTTAAATTTAAGTCGCCGTAGATTAAACTTGTTAGAAGTTATTGTTAAATGTCGCATTTCATTTAACGTCCCGCGTTATCTTTTCAAATGATTTAAAGGTTGCTAATTCATTTAAAGAGATTCGTCTTTTGAACATTATTTTTCAGTAACTTGTATTTCGCACAACTTCACTGTCGTGGCATAAAATTATTTTATGCTTGCTAATCATTTTCTTGAAATGATTTCCGAGATTTTTGCCATTTCAAAAGATGGAGACTAAGCTTTCGGATTAATCCAGACGTACGCATGTATACTGTATATAAATTTGATTAATTGTTTACTTAGATATCGATGATTCTTGCGCGATATGCTAACACATTTTTTTCTATGCAAGATTTCAATGCAGTAGAAACTAGTTAACTGAGAAAAAAAGAGTCTATAAATGATTTGTAACTCGTGCAATTGCGCTCAACTGAAAACGTTTGGCAGTTATGAAATGTTAATATTTAATATTGTTGGTTAAACATAATATAGAAATATTTTTCTAGGAAATGTATACAAGTAAGGTTACAATCATTAAATCGCTCACAGTGCTCACGTACATAATTTTGTCGCGTGCTGCGATCAACTCGATTTATTATAACTTATTATAATTTTTTAACAAAGCGAAAATATAGCGACGATATGGCGCAATGAACATCGTTACGTAATGATCATTCGTAATACTTTTTCGTGTATATAATACGTAGCTGACCGCAATCTTTGACTCTATTCAAATTTTGTACAACACTTCATTTAGCATTGTATTAATCATTAAGTAGCTTTGAGTACATTTAGTAGCTTTTGTATATTCATCAGTTTAATCCTTGAAGTTATTAAGACTTGCATTAATTTTTACCGCAAGTCCTCTTACATCTTTTATACGCCTTCTGTAAAATGTAGCATATTCAGTACAGCAAAAAGAACAGTGTTGTGCTAAGATTTAAACCATTGTTTTGTATTGTAATACAGGAATAAAGATGTTTGTAAATAGCCTAATTATCGCATAGAAATTTTCTCATCCACATTTTAATTGTTAATTTATGAAACGGGTGTTTTTCGATATTGTATGTAAATCTTCCGGATCTCGTTAAGAAATTTGCGAGGGGTACTGTATTTGGATATCCATGTGTATCATTACTGTTGATTAAGAAATTTAAAGAGCTATATTTTTTTCAATTTAATACAACGTAATCAATTTTTTTCTAAACTATTAAATTTCGGTCTAAAACGCACGATGCGTTTGATCCAGTAACGAGAGACAGTGATGTTTACGTACAGAAATCGGGAAAGAAATTAACATGTATAATGCGTTCTATATATAATCTCCTTTATTTATTTCTATATGTACAGATCCTTGAACATAACAGAAGTGTCATTTGTACACACTTTTTGTATTCGGAATGAAACAGATATACAATTAAGCGTCAGACAGAAGAAGAGGAAAGACCGAAATCCGAATTGGAATTATACGGCAAGCGGCGTGCGGCGCAGCTGAAAAGAACGGAGCTCGCGCATGGCGTAAACTGCGCGCTATTCGCGGCTTTCGAAATTCCGGCTCCTCGTGGCTCTCGGTTATTTTGACGCCTTTGACGGACGGAAAAAGATATCGTTCCTCCATCTTGTTCCGTCTCGCGGCACGTGTTGCGGACGAGACGATGCAGACGTGCCGCAACTGCCGCGGGGTCAACAGCCGGCTCGGCCGTCCGTAAAAGGAGAGATACTCATACTCGCGCGTTTCCCCCCCCCCCCCCCACGCAATTGTGTTGATGTATCGCGGGTTTCGAGTTTCGAGACGACTTTCGGCCGTACGGTGGAAAACGCGGCCTCGTAGTGGCTGAACCGACCCGTCGCGGTCCACTCCGAATAGTTCGAATGCGTTCGACGCGTACGCGCTGACACGATGTCCCTCGGAAGTCGCAAGGAGACCCGGCACTCCGGGCACTCCCGCGTGCTGATGCCGGTACTCCTGAGTGCCTGCGCTATCCCGATCTCGATGCTCTTCTGGATAGTGAACGTGGCTTACTCGATACTGTGGCCAGACACCGCCAACTCGACGGAAGGTCTCGTATACCCGAACGATTTTAATTGCGCTCGCGAGTCATCGCGGTTAGGGGTTAGGTCGGCGAATATACGTATATATATAAGTAAATATATATGTATATACGCATTGGGACACGTGACACCGCGTGAGTGATTCCATTAGCACGCGACGTAATCGTCGCGGTGTATTTTAATACGATTGAGAACGATTGACAAACACGGCTTTTAGGTTAGAAAAAAAAAGAACTGTCATGGAGGGGTACGATGACAGGTCGCGCGAGGGATGTGATGACAGGTGCAACGTCAATCCCGCAAACCGAGACAATTAAATTCTGAAAAAAAAAAAAAAAATTCTTATAACATCTTATATTTTTAAGAATTTTTCCTATTTTAAATTTATGAAGATTAAAAAAAGATATTAAATTTTTTTTCAGGCTTTTATAATTATTTCCTCGGAAATCATAGAATGGAAGATATCTTAGAATATTTAGAATATTTCAGAATTCATACATATAAAGAATTGTAGAGAACCGAATAAGTAACTTTTTACTTCGCCAGTTAATAATTAACTTAATTAGAAGTAGAAAGACTTCAATCGACCCTACTGGCTATTATTAGAATCGTCAAGACGTTTTAACCATGGATTTTGCTCCTTCTAAACCCAAGTAACACATCGTGTCGTAACACGATGTGTTACTTAATTGGCAACTGATGTAATGTAATTTTGATGCTTATGTATAAGCATCCTATATATTTACATAATTTAATTTATTGCGAAAGATATTACCTCACCCTGGCTGAGGTAATATTTTTCGCATAAATTAAATTATTTAAATATAGGATGCTTTTACGTAAGCAAAATTACATTAATTCAGAAGGACCAAAATCCATGGTCAAAACGTCTTGACCATGGTCATCTTGTGGTCTTGACGTCCTTGACGATTAAGGCCCAGTTTCACAAGTGTCGGTTAACTTTTAATCTTAGATTAACTCACTCTTCATCTCCTTCTAACGTCGCCCTTAGAAAAAGAAGAAGAGTAAGTTAATCTAAGATTAAAAGTTAACCGACACTTGTGAAACTGGCCCTAAGCTGACCAAAATCAATGGTACCGAATTGTCATGACGATTATAATAACAGACAATAGGGTCGATCAAAGTCCTTACTGCCAATTGTAAAGAAGATGTGGACTTTCTTGACATTTCTGAAAAGTGTTCCAATTCGTCTATAAAAAATCTGAAGATTTTTCTAAAAGGTTTTGAAAATTTATATAGAAATTCTGAAAGATTATGTAAAGCTATTCTGAGAAATTTCATCAGGGATATGTATCAATTGCAGCATATGCGCGAAAACTTTCTCTTTTACACAAACGGAGCTTTCGATATACGCATGAGACAGAATTGGTGAAAGTGTTGATGCGATAAAGCGGATAAAACAAGGCTCCCAGTCGAGCTATTCGACCAGCGTGCTTGATGACGACGACTTTGTCATTTATTATATTTCGCAAGAATTTATACGCACGGTATCGTAAATGCGTGGATCTGGCACGTGTATCGGAGCGTATTCGAAGCACATGTCACGTGTTTCCTGTCTGAATGCTCGCGCGTCGAGGCTGTTGGTTTTTTCAAGTAATATTTTTATTGTTATTCGTCATCTGTGAATATCATTTATTTATCATTGATTAATTTATTATTTGTTATTTGTTTATTAATTATTTGAACAAATTCCGCTGTTATTAATTTCACAGTTTAGCTGAAATTAACATTTACTATTTGATTGATTTTTGTCTTCTTAACTTGCACAGTAAATTACAAAATGTCATAAATTGAAATAATTTAAATTTTCAGTTCCTGTTTGTGCGTCTTGATTGTTTTTGTAAAAAGACGATTTCAACATCGTCTTCTTGTGGACGCCGTTATAGATAAGAAACGCAAGATGAACGGAATATATGCATATACAGAAGTGAATACAAATGGCGTGCATTTTTTTTTATGTCATCAAAAGTCAATCAACATGGAATATTTATTCCTAATAAATATTCTAAATTACTCGTATGCTAAGTTATCGATGTTTTTAACTGTCTACCTATTAAAACAGACGATCTCGCGTGACGATAACGCGACACGAAAGACTTGTGAAACTTGAGATAACCGACATCGTGAAAAATACGCAACATTGAAATACGAATATTAGTTTAACTTTGTCTTTTTAACTCTCTATCTGTATACGTGGATCTACGGCGTTCGAGCCAAAATGATGTCTGCTCGTAATTGTAAAGGCCCTTGAACAATGCCGTCAGGCAACAGGCAATAGGAACAGAGAATAGAAATCAGAAATCATGTATAAATGCAGAATAACAGTGGCACAGGCAATAGACACAGAGTTTCTGTCACGTTGAAAATTCTGTGCCTATTGCCTGTTGCCGACCAACAATAGCATTCAAATTTTTTGTAATTAACGAATTTTTGGTTACTTCCTGTTCCTATTGCTGTTGCCTGGCGTTGTGCAAGGGCCTTAAAAAGTTTGCAAGTCTGTCAAAAAATATTAAATAAATGATGATTATCAAATTGACCATAAAATCGTCAACTACGATGTAGACAGATGTTTTGTGAATTTTTTTCAGATTTTTCTAAATACTTTAAAGCAAGGAAGAATAACGTTAAATGACAGACCCACGTATACACTCTAACGGTGTAAAAAAACGTATATAGATGGAGGATTAAAGAATGTTACACGCGACACATAGATATTATATTTTTTGTGGATTTAAACTTTGAGAGAATATGCGCACGAACTATAACCCGATAACATTTATTGCTAAACCGGCCTTTATTCCTCCTTTTTTAGTTTGTCGCGCGCAGATTAAAATTAAAATGAGATTTAAATTTTTAATTTTCGCTCGTATATCTTAGTTACTTCTTATAAAGCCTTTTACATACTTATTTTCTATTTGCGGCGTTATTGCAGACAAGAGTTAAATGCGCAACAACGAAAAAAAAAATTAATAAGCAGAGCACAAATAAAGCAAATGAATAGGCTATATATATATTGTTGTGTCATCCAATCAATAACTTAACATGTCTTTTTTTTTTACGAAAAAGCTATTGCGTAATTGTTATCTGTTATACTCAATCTATTTATAATATAGATCACGCTAATCACAAAGTCAATCTGCAGACTAAACGATGGTTGAAAATTTATCTTTTTTATTATACTATGAGTGATTTTGACAATTCGTTCACTTACTTTAAATTTCTTCAAACGATTGACGCGTTGAAAGTCAAGAAGAAAAGTCTTTATCGACGAAAATATTTATTGTGTGAAATGTAAAACCTTGTTTATTCTGTAAAATTATAATTTTATTGAAATCACGTTACACATTTTCTCCGTGTAACTGCAATTGAATCTAAAAATACAGTAACATCTCAATATTGAATCAATTTTATTTTCATTTTAGAGCACTCGGTGATCTCACCATGGAGATGGCTGGCCGCAGTTATAATTCCACTTATGTTTATGTCTTGGGGTTTACGCAAGAAAAGTATAGACATCAGCGGTGCAATTCTCGGTAGTGAAACCTTCATATAATTTGTATAATTTATTGATATAAAAAAATATGGAATATATTAAGACACTAAATGATATACAAAATTAAAATATTTAGTCGTGCATGTGTTCATATATGTTAAATCAGAAAAAAATTAAAGCCACACTCGCATTCATAATAATTAGTTGAAATAAACTTTTGTCAACAAAAATATCTTTCTTCTCATCGAATTACATTTCGTGAAATTGTAGACTTCCGATAAGATCTTGTAATATCGCCGTATTAATAATTAATTAATTTTTGTAGGCTTCTTTATGGGCTTTATCCTGACACTCTCGAGTTTTGCTCATTTGATGGCTCTCGTAACGTTCTTCGTCACTGGATCAAAGGTAACAAAATTTCGGTCTGTACAAAAGAAGAAGATCGAAGCAGATTTCAAGGAGGGTGGCCAACGGAATTGGATCCAGGTTCTGTGTAATGGTGGCATGGCTACGCAGTTAGCTTTATTATATCTATTAGACGTCGGAAGCGGAGAACGGCCAATCGATTTCGACAAGGAATACCGAAGCTCGTGGTTATCTATTGGGATAATAGGTAACGATCAATATCTAAATATTTTCTTCATAAAAATAAAAATGTTATTGCGAGCTGAATTTTTAACAATTTATAATTTTGCATTTTACAGGAGCAGTTGCGTGTTGTAATGGTGACACGTGGGCTTCTGAGATTGGTACGGTGGTCGGCATGGGTGACCCATTCCTCATCACGACGAGGAGAAGCGTCCCGAGAGGTAAGAACGATAGCCTTTTGGGATAAACTTTTTTTATCTCACTAAAACAAGCCATATATATCTGATTTGCGAATTGCCAGAAAGATTGACTGATTTTACAATAAGATGTTAGTAAATAAAACGGTTGAATTCTTTGCACTTCGTTGTTCAAGGAACAAATGGTGGTGTATCGTGGATAGGTCTGATATCTTCTATCGTTGGCGGTCTAGTGGTTGGGCTTTTCTATTATATTGTGATTTTAAATACCGTTGATACAGCCGTACTGCAATTAGCAGCACCACAATGGCCGATCATAGTCGTCGCGGCATTCGCAGGTCTTTTTGGCAGCATCTTAGATTCTATTCTTGGCGCGACTTTACAGTATTCAGGTAATACAATTGTACCTTTCGATTTCGTATGTTCTTTTTATCATTTTAGATCCAGAAGAGTTTTTCGATGGTTTTTAGCATCAAATTAAACAGATAAATCTTCTTATTATATATAATAATGCGTATTTTTAGGAGTGGACGAAAAGGGTACCATAGTGGAGCGGCCAGGGAAAGGTGTGAGACACATTTGTGGTAAACAGATCCTAGATAATCACAGTGTAAATCTTCTTTCTACTATCGGTATCACGCTCATTCTTCCAAGAATAGCAAATATTTTCTGGCCGTAAAAAGTCTCTCTCAAATCTATTTAAAAACAGAATGTTCTAATATTGCATTTATTATTCTTATCTATATTCAAACAAATCGAATTGTACATCTTGTATATTTCTCTGCGCTATTTACCTAGGAATAAAAATAGTACATTAGGATTCAAACAAAGGATCTTGTTTAAAATTTATTTTGGTATGTGTAATTTATTATAAATTATCATACCAATTTTTAATATAATAAATATTCTAAAATAGCAGTAATTTAAATATTGATAATTTCTAGTAACGTACTTTTTCACAAGTTATCTATAATGTTCAATTTTTAATCAAGAATTATTTGTTTAACAATATTGATTATGTTATCAATACGTCTTTATGCTATTCTACTACTGTGCGCTATCATTTAATATAATTAAAATATGGATTGTATAAAAATATAAAATCATATTTTTTATAATTTATATGCAGTTCACATTATTACTCGTTAAGGCTAAAAGTATTTCTTACATTGAAAATATTGGAGCAAGTTTCTAGAAATCTAGATTAATGTTTCTGCTGTTTCCTACATTTATAATATAAGCATTTTATTACTTTGATGTTATTCTAATAAAAGTTTGAATAATCTTGCATAATATGCATTTTTAAATATAGAATATACATACAATATTTTAAGATATATAGAATTATCGCACTCCTTTAATTAAAAACTTTTGACAAAATTGCAAAAAAAAACTTTTATTGGACAATCTCTTCCATATTTTAATTTTAAATGAAATCAAGTTTAATTTTGAACTAAAAGAAAAAAGTTTGCATTCACAAAGAAAATTATATAAAGTATTAACGCTTTAATATAATTTATCTTTAAATAAAATAAGCCTAAAAGTTAAATAAATTAGAAAACTTAAAGTTAGATATTCTAATTTATTTATATTATTGAAAATTAATAGTTAAAATATTTTTTATATTTAGTTATATTTGGAAGAAAATGCGATATTCTCTATTATAATATGTTGTAACATCTTTTATGTTTACATAATATTGAAGCAAATGAAATAAATGAGTGACATTATCAAAAAAAGATACAATACATATCTATGTATATATAAACTCGATATTTTTTTTTTCAATTCAATAATTTATTTTATTAAAAATAAAAAATTATTAAGAATTATAAGAAGTAATTTAATTAATTATTATTTAATCTTACATTCCAATAAAATATACCAATTCGTGACAATTTTTAAAAGCTGTAAATACTATACCAAATGTGTATTCTTATCGCATATTTGCAATTAAATGTGAGTTGAATTTTCGTCTTTTGTATAAGTATTATTAAATATTATTTGATGCGATGAGCATACAGATATGTATATATATTATATATATATGTATATGTATATATATGCATATATATATATATATGCATATATATTACAGAATTTCGGAACATGGTTAAAAATATATAAGTCAAACTTTAAAATAATCTATATACATACGTCATAATAAAACTACAGGATATCTCATATTTAATGACTTAGAATTAGATAAAACATTTTTTTGCTTCAATATTAATTAAAAAAATGTTATAACTTGCTAAAAAGATGACGTTGCGCATACGCGCGTATTAATATTACTATGAGAGAATCATTTTTAACATATTTTGTACTTAATGAAAAATAAAACCTCATGTAAAATCAATGAGATATTCTGTACACGTTTGTACTTTTATTAAATTTATAATATCATAGCATCAGAGCGAAATAAGAATTTTTTATATTACAACTGTACGATTTAAGTGACAGTAGATCGTGTAGATTTAATCAACCAACTGTTACTTATACCTTTCCATAATGTAATACTTACAGGATATTTGCAATAAAAATTTACTTAATAAAATCGAAAAAATCACAGCAACATTTAAAACATGAAACACGTCATCGTGTCTCTCACATCGAAATTGGATTCATAATGAATTGCTAAAGCAAATTAAAGCAAAATTATTTTTCCAAAAATAGTTCACGATTAGGAAGGAAACTGTAAATTCTCTTACAATTCAAAAATCTAAACATTAAAAATATACAAGCTCAAATTTGATCTAAAAATAGAAATAATCTAAAATTTTATTTATTTATAGCTAGATTTAAGAATGCATTTTCCTCCAAAAGGAAAAATTTATTGTCAGCTTCTATAGCTGAGCTATTGAAAAAATTTCTTATATATAAATTCTATCATGGCTTATTTATGTTTTATTACATTTAATTGGAATGAATGAAATGAAAAGTTTATCTGTACAACGGCATAATTACATGTAATTATTTTTACTATGTTATCTATCTGTGAATTATCTATCACAATTATCTGTGAATATAAGATAACGAATAATCGCTTTATGATCTATTGAATATTAATATTGAAAGAAAAAAATATTATGCAAAAATATTATGCCCGTTATTATGCTTAAAATCCATATTAACACGTTCCCTGCCGAATCAAAAAGCAATCCATAACTTTCCATTTAGACCGTGTGAGTTACCAATGCATATTGGTAAGATTAATAGTTTTACTTATAATATATCGTATAATATTTATAACGAAGACTACAGTTCATTATTATTATAAAAAAAAAGATAACAATGTTCTCTACAAGTTGATAACTGTATTATACACAGTATTTAATACATTATTTTATAAAATATTTTCTAATGTTACATGTGGCAACAAAAATATCAAATGGCCTAAATGGAAAGTTTAGCATGCGACGCATACCTTCTCAGCAGGAAAGGTGTTAAGATTGCAATCAGATAATTAGATGAAGATAGAAAGTATAAGAGATGATAACAAATGTATAATTTATTGGAACTGAATGATTAACGATTTGTAATATTCGTGAAATTACTACTACCACTACCGTTTGTAACGACCTTTTATTAACTGCAACGCCTTTGCCATAAGTGGTGCTTTTGTCTTCTTCATGGTGCTTGATGCTAATAAAAAACAATTATTGGTTAAAATAGATATAACACATCAAATTCCCATGATAATTATAATCAAAATAAATAAAAATAAATACATACTTGATGCTTTAAATCGGGACATCGGCGGTGGTGGTACAGCAATATTCGTCGCATTGTTAGTTGCACCACCGCCAACTAGCTTTTTCTTTACGCTGGAGACAGTAGCAGGAGTGGCATTTGCTGTGCCATACTTCGCCTGTTTCTTCAATACATTGCGCGGTGGTTTCACTACATTATCCACATAAGCAAGTTTAGTGGATCTCACTGGGACGGATTTGTCTATAGATTGCTTGATATTGGCGGTGAGCGTTTTCAATTTCGCTTCTCTTTCATCCAAGCAACGCTATGTGACGTCATAATGTTAATATAAATAAGGCAAGTTATATGAGTCTATCATACATAAAACTTTAAACACATTTTTGCACATTTTTACTGTTTTAGCTCTATAATTGTTAATACCTACCATGTACATCTCTCGCCACGACTCCATTTCCTGTCTCTCATTATTCCTGAACTCTCGATTACAATGATATTGCCATAATATATCTGTGTCTTCTATGAGATATGGGTTGTGATGCTCTAACATAAATAATTGATCAGGCGTGGCACGTTCTAGGATCGGTTTTAATATATCATATGGTACGCCGCCAGTAAACTCGAGTGCTAGTAATAAAAACGTTCATCGTTAGACTATTAGAACATTAATGCGTAATCTGACTGCAATAAAGAAAAATGCTCACCATCGATATTTTCTATCAGCACTCTGATACACATTTCATACAATGTCGGCACACTTGTGTAACCAACCTTGTTACCAGAATACACTTTTGTCCTGGAACAAGAATAAATAATACATAGAGTAAACAGTACAATAATATTAAGAAAAAATATTTCACTATTTATGTTGCAAAGAATGCATGACTACCTTTGATTCTTGACATAAATGATATCATCAACAGGCTTTACTTCTTCTCTACGTTGCATAGGATTAATATATGGCAGTGGCTTATAATTGGGACTAATTTCAGGTAACGTAGATGCCAAATCTACATTCAACGGTTCCAATTTTACGTTTGGTGCTAAAAGGGATAGTGGCTGCAAATTAAGTTTTTAATCGTTAAAGTTAGTCTTTTCTGACATTAAAGATATTAAATAATAGAATATAAAAATTACATTTGAATTGTCGCTACATTCTGGCTCAGGTTTTACAGTTGGTATTTTTCTATTATTAACGGGTGGCGACATCGGTTCTGTTTTAATTGGTTTACTAGAATGTGTGTTGGACGAATTACTCTGACGCTTTTTCGACTTAGGTATGGAGCACATACCAAGCGCCTCTGCAAAGCTTGCACCTAGAAAGAATGAAAATATGATGCCACAATTGTGCTTCACATCTATTTGATTTCAAAATAAATGAATTTTTTTAAATAAAATTATTAAAAATTTTAATTGTTCTATAATTTCTCAAAATATTTAGCACAGTATTAAATATTACATAAGACCAAATCTATCCCAGACAGCATGAATGTCCAAAATCGGGACATAAGCCGTTTTAAATATATCTTTGAGACGTCTTAAAGATATATTTAAGACGTCTCAAAGACGTCATATATCCCGATTTTGGACATGATGCTGTTTGGGATTCCATTCTAATAATCTTTAATTTTCAGATATATTCTCTATAATATCCAGTCCTTAAAAAAATAGCTTAATTTACATATATAATTTATTTCGTAATGATAAATAAAGAACAAAATAAATATAAAGAAATAATCTAAGAGAAATAAAAGTCTCAAATGGTTTCATTTTATTTAATATATTATTGTCTTAAAAATTTATTTTTTAAATATATTTGAAGATTATATTTTTGTAAAATAAACTACTAAAATCATCGATGAGAAAAAAATCCACAAGTTAAATTTTTTTACATAATAAAATCATTACGGCCGAATTTCACAGACGTCGGTTAACTTTTAACCTTAGGTTAACTCACTCTTTGTCACTTTTTAACATTACTCTTAGAAAGAGACGAAGAATGAGTTAACCTAAGATTAAAAGTTAATTGACGTTTGTGAAACAGGGCTTAAATAAATATATTCTTTCTTTCTTTCCTCGGCGCTACAGCCCAGGATGGGCTTTTGGCCTTCCTAAATGAATATGTAACATGATATAAATAATTTTCTCCAACACACCAGAATTGCAATCTATTCCTTCATCACCATTTATTAACTTTATTTTTGTCGCTTTTTTCTTCTCGTGTTTACTCTTGTCCTCCTTGAGTTCCTTTCCCGTATTCTTGTCTTTGTTCTTAATATAATCTTTACTACTAGAGGAACTGACTTTCGATTTGGAAGTCTCCTTGCTAGAACGATGACTGGAATCTTTTTTCGTCTCATGTTTTTTATGACTAGTATGCTCTTCTTTCTTATGCTTTTGTTTTTCACTGCTGTCCTTTGCTTTACTACCTGATTCTTGGGACTTAAGCTTACTGGAACTGCTCCTGGATTTCCCCTGCAAATACTTCTCCTGTTTAACATCTTGTTTGTTATCAGTTGTTAAAAAATGTTCATCTTCTACTTTAATCTTCACCTCTATCTGAATTCCAGAAGATTTCAAGTGGGAACGATTATGTTCCGAAACAGATGTCAGCTGAGATTTCTCATCATCTTTTTTACTATCTGTTTCCTTCCTCTTCTTATTATTTTCCTTCGTTAGGGAACTGGAGTCGTTCGCTTTTCTCTTCTTATTATTGTCCTCATTAATCTGGGTAGTTTTATCACTAGCCTTCTTCGAATTGTCACTCTTGCTATGACTGTGCTTTGTCGAGCTGTGAGCTTCTTTAGTCAGGCTACTTTTACTGCTTTTTGATTCGTAGGACTTTTTTTCGCTATGTGAATGATATTTGGATGAATGTCTACTTTTTTCACGCATTTCTTGCTTTTCCTCTGACTTAGACGTGGACACATGCACTACACTATGTTCCGTAGATAGTTTGCTCATGTTTTCCTTATGTCTATGCGTATATTTTGATTCTGACAATTGATCGGACGAAGAATCACTTTCTTCTATATCTTCTGGTTTTGGAGACAATGGAGAATCCTGGTTATCAGTATTTTCATGATCGTCCATTACACAAGCTTCATCGTCATCTTCTCTATCACTGGAATCATCTTTATCATCTGCCACCATATTCTTCCACTTGTAAACCAAAGACTTAGCGGCATCACCCACAGTACCGTCATATTTTCTCAAGCCATTCACAGTCCTTCCTACTCCTGTCTGCTGAAGATGTTGCACTGTCACTGGTAGCTTATATAGCTTTGAAATGTAATGTAATATCTGTGGGACACAATTATACCAAATTATAACAAATTTATGTCCTCTCGATATAGATTATAAAATATGGAATTTAATTTTCCTTCAACAGAAATTTAAGAGAATGTCTATAATAATAGTAATATTATACAAAGATATAAAATAATCAAAAGACACTTCATATTATGCATATATACATATATAATAGAATTTTGATCAATCTTTACTTGAAGGTATTTTCTATAATTGAGAAGGGTTTGTAATTATTTAGGTAATTATAATTATCCTTAACACCAAAAGAATGTGATATAATCTATCTAAAGACATACATCATATTGATATTTATTTGTAGCGTTACTGCATTACTTAATTTGTATTTTATTGTCACATTATCATTAGTAGAGGTTAAAAAAGTTAAAAAAAGATACTGTTTACAGAAAGTCTCTAAAAATGACACAACAAAATTATGAGACCGAGAAAGTAACTTTTGCAAAAGTGGCATTAACATAATACAGTTGATGCACGATCACAAAGGGTTATGCGTACAGCTGGTTAGTATTTACATGGATTATTGAACTCGGAGTGACTCGTTTACACACGAGGAACGTTATTACATACCCGATCCTCGTTGTCACCGCAGTTCTCTAAGTTGCGTTGGTAGTAAGAAATTTTATCGACAATGGACATACTGCGAGTGACGAGGGTTGACGACTACCAGCTGCTCACTGCTTAATATCGCTCGCGAAATAGCCCGACAAGCAAACGTGACTAACGTGAGCGCAAATACAGACTTTCCGAGGACGAAAGACACGCTAAGCGGACGTGTGATGATTTGGTTACTGCACACCACACGTAAAGACGGATTTGCATAATGCTATTCACAGAAAAATCGATCGATCATCTAATGCAAAGGGCGCCATAACACCGCATTCCTCGTACGCGTGATTGGATCATTTTTCTATCGATAGAAAAATGATATTTACGCTATGCAGCTGAATATAAATACATACCTTCAAATTCTGCCTGATATTTACGTGTCGTTGTACAATATCCTTTTTTTGGACAAAGTTCCTCAGATGGCGAATCCTTTGAATCCCGAAACTTCTTCTCCGGATAGCCTATCAGCGGAAGGTGAATTTAACCCAGTCACCAATCACCGAAGAGCTTTGTACTATCCAACTAGTAAAAGCGTCTAAAAGATGTCGTAAAGACGTGTAAAAGACGTCCGAAGTCATTTAGACGTCTTTTTAGACGTTTTTAATTTTTAAGACGTCTTTTAGACGCTTTTGCTATAGCTGAGTGCACACTTGAACGAAATCCTAACGACGCCGCGACGTTTGTATACAAGACATAAGAAACAGTAGCCAATCGTCTTCCGTTACATTTTTCTTTATTTGTAAAAAAAAATTGAAAAAGATGGGTTATGCGTTCTGTGATTGGTCTAGCGAAGAATGTAGCACTGTGCATATATGTTATACAAGAAATTTTTAATATATTATCTCAATACAATAAATAATTCTTTTGGTTTTAGAATTTTAATATTTTTGAAAAATACGTTATTATGTGAAAAGATTTAACTTGGAAATAAAGATTTTTTGTTAAAATTAATATTTTTAAAAATGTTTAAAATGATGATACAGAGCATATTCGGTTAAACGAGAGCAGAGAGAAGCCCCTAAGAGAGGCTGGTCTTTTTCATGGGACCAGAGAGAAGGAATATGTAAGGATGAGAGTGGTTATAATAATATGTCATGCCCCCCCCACGTTTTAACTGTTACCGAATTCTGTAGAGGTAATGTGTACGATTTTGTGGTTCTCTTCCTGGGCTACGTTCACGATTTTTCGATTCTTCGAACCAAAAAATTGTGAACATAACACAGAGAAGAACCACAAAATCGTGCACACTACCTACAGGATTCAGTAACAGCAAAAACGCAGGCATGACCACTCTCATCTTTCTCTCTGTTAGGTACTACGTAGCCACCACGTTCATTTTCCGACACTGCCGATAAAACATTATTTTGGTGCGCGTCCGTGCTACATCTGCAAATTGCGCGGTCTCATCTGATAATGCATAATTTAATTTAACGGTAATCCGGTACTATAGTATATCAAAGAAAAGGTATGAGCAATATTTTTAAAGGCCGTCCTGCTTTGTACCGAATGTTATTGCAATTAAAAATGCATTTTATATGGACTTCGCATTTTCTTAGTTAATTATAAATTAAATATTAGCTCTTATCTTAGGTTTTAACTAAAAGTTTGTTCGGTAGAAACGGGTCGACCTATAGAGGCCCTCCACCGCCCCCGCCGAATCCGATCGGCCGGATTCGGGGGCTCCCGCAAGTAATACGTTACTCGTTGAACGTCATCGGTATACGAGTCGCGGCGCGGCGAAACGTTGTCGCTCGTGTAAGTAATTTCTTTCTCGCGAATGAAAAGAAATCCTCCGGTTACAGAATGTGTGTGTTGCAAGCTGAATGTACGCCGAATTATTCTGTTTCTTCTCGTGTCGATTGCACTGAGTGGGATGGCCGAAATGAACGAATGCCGTCTTGGACGCCGGCGCCGGTACGTATCACCCTTCCGCCTTTCTCGGTTGTGATTTGACGGGTCTCCTTGCAATGTGGCGTGATCGGTGAGTTATCATTGTGCATGAGAAATAAATGATTCGAAGTGCGATACATCCGAATCTTAGCAGAATCGTTGTCCCGCGCGTGTCGCAGCGAGACGCGATAATCTCGGAATTCGCGTCTCTTGCCTCCGTTTCGATTTCTACTTCGAATGAGTGAATCGCGTGGAAAGACGCTTCGGTGAATAGCTCGAACCTCTCATTAAGCACGGGAATTAATAATCTATTGAGTAATTAAAGAGAATAATCGCGCGTGTGGCGTTCTCACTTTGCTTGTCGCGATCGTGAACGAGAGGGAGCGAGCTAATTGCTCCAAAATGCGTATATATGAACGTCGAGATGAGTGCGAATTAATGAGCTCAAAAGTGCGTTTGCGAATACAATTCCGTTTTTCGTTCAAAAACAGACACGTAATTCGTTACGTTTACAAATGTTTCAAATTTATTTGTATGTGCTTTTTTGTTCCTCCTAATCTCTACTTTGTTGAAAATTAACATTAAATTGTATTGTTTGTAAAAATTTCTTCGCGATCGTTTTTACAGCGCGGTGATCGCGCACATACCATAAAAGACGACAAACCGTCGTCGTCAAGATACTTAACAATTATAAAACATTCTCTGTTGCTTGTTCCCCAAATATTATATTTGTTTTGCTTACAAAATTTTCCATAAAGGCCTATTGTCTCGTATTTGGATTTTTAAATTGATAGGAGATACATATATCTTTTATTTGAAATAACTCCGACAGCACAATGTCCAAAATCGGAACATAAGACGTCTTTTAGGCCAGGTCTAGACATATATGTATCGTATCATAATATTTTCTTATTAAAATACGAATATGTTGGTTATAATGATAACCCAGGGCCTTGTTTTCATTGTTTTCAATCTATAAATTACGGGATACGAATACAAGGCCTAGCCCTTATAGAAATTTAATACTGAGTGTAAGTGATTATTTGGCTAGTAATTAATTACTTATTTTGAGTATTAAAATCATTAAAAACAGTACTTTTAATACTTAAATAAGTAATTAATCACTAGCCAAATAATCACTTACAGTATTAAATTTCTGTAAGGGTGGGTTATCATATAATTATAACCAACATCCGTATTTTAATAAGAAAATATCATGATACGATACATGTACTTATGTCTGGACTCGGTCTAAAAGACGTCTTATGTCCCCATTTTTTACATTGTGCTGTCTGGGAACCCAGCGAGAAATGACCCATCGAATCGATGTCTAATCAACGTCGAAATCATGATTTTGATGGGTTATTTCTCGCTGGGAAGTGTAAAAGTGAAAGAGGGAGAGAGGACTATTAGATTATATTTAACATATAATAATATGTATAAATATTTAAAATAAGTTAATATTTATCGATACATGTAAGATATAATTAATATTTTGGATTGTAATTGGTTGAGGATCAGTTTAATATTTATACATCTTATATGTATCGATAACAATTAATTTATTTTATATATTTATATTATATGTTAAATATCTAATAGCCCTCTCTCTCTCTCCCTCTCTCACTTTTTCTCTTTTCGAGTCATTTTGGTGCGCGTCCGTGCTACATCTGCAAATGCATGTTTTATCGGCAGTGTTGGAAAATGAACGTGGCTACGTTATTATATAGTGGCTACCAATTTCGAAAATGGATGTATACTGGCGGTAGTATACAGGGGCCTTCGACTTTCGACGGTTTCACGAAAAAGGCCGGGATGGTCTCTCTCAGAAGCTGACAAGAGTTTTGTCCTTAGGCAACTATATTGTCATTGACAAGAGCATCAATATTTGATAATAGCAACATTTTTTTACTATTTCTGGGTCTGCGGAGTCCCATTGATGATCACGAAAATTTAACTAGCCTTTAATCAGATATCGGTAATATCGCAATTTTATGCCCTTCGGGTTACTGTGACGTTATCAACAATCGGTTATATTAGCTTTCTTCAATTATCTATATAATACTTATATATTTATAAACGTAGTATCTATAAACGATATCTTTTTCACAATCCAGAGAAATTAAGCTGCAGATTTTTTGTAATATTTTAATATTTAATATTTTTTAATATTTATTAATGTCAGATAAGTGAAATTCTTGTGGAAATACGCTAGACGGCTATTCCTATCTTAATTAACAATTAATAATATACAAGAAGCATGCATGTGAATCCATTGTAAATAAACATTGCGGTAAATAAATGAATTAATAATTTCAAACTTATTTTATAGCTTTCCTTTTTAAATCAGATAAATTGTAATGTATACATATATCGTATATGATATGTGTAAATAAAAAAAAATTAAAGTGATTTATAAAATATTACTACTGTTTTAATAATTGCATTAGGTAATTTTTTTCATTAGCTATTTTTTACTCGTACACAAAAAAATAATATTTTTAATTAGAAAATATATCTCTAGTTTCAACATAGAAATCTTGAAATGAGATTATATTGCGTTAAACGAAGAAAACTTGTTTGAATAAAGTTTATTATATAGTTCAACCAAGAAAAATATGTTGAAATAAAAAAGTTGAAATTCTTAGAAGAGATTACAGTGATCTTGCTTATATACGAAACAATCTATATCTTGAAACTAAAGATATATTTTCAAATCAAGAATATTCTTTTTTTTCTGTGTACACAACTTCCTTAAATATAATCTAATTTTTAATATTAAAAGTATATAGCATCGATTTAATCGATTTGATTACACCAACGGAATTACAATCAAAACAGACTTAATTTTATTATTGTAAATGTTAAAAACTGGTTTTATGCATTAATTAATTTAGAATTGATTAACATATCTAAGACACAATTTTTTTAAATAAAATCTTACACGCTACAAAGTCTGATTTAATTGTTTAGAAATTATTGGCATAATAATAATTTTAATCTGTTTATGTAAAATATTGTTTACAAAAAATTTCATTTGCGACCTCTCCAATTACACAGATCAATTTATCTCATTTATGCGAGATCACTCCGTACATAATAAAATACTTTATGCGTTTCGTATTTGATGCATGTAAGATAGATTTATGAACTATTTGATGCGCGACGTCATCGTCATTATAATTTAAATTTCAAGCGGATATCAACTTCTTGTTGATCTACGTCAAGGAAAATGATGCTATGATCCTTGGAGTCGTTCAAATAATATCGTCAAGATTTTGAATTGCTAATTTATCATTAGAGCGATATGACAGAGAATAATTCATTGTTACGACCGACCGTATTGTCTCTCTCAATAATCAAATAATTTACTCGTCGTTTGTGCAAATGATTTAAAAAATTTGCTTTTAATCCTCAACGATCGTAGCTGATGACGATTTTTTTTGCTAATTGTTTTTATTTTATTATAATACCTAATATATATAAACTAAATATTCATATAACATTTT